GAAAGCTTATGCTCTAATAAATTTGTTAGTCTCTAAGGTGCCACAAGTACTCCTGTTCTTCTTTTTGCGGATACAGACTAACACGGCTGCTACTCTGAATCCTCCTTAGTCTCTTTTTTGCAGCCATTCTGAATTATGCAACTGAGAGCCTTCAAAAGGGCAGCCATACAATATACAGAACTGATGGAATTCTCTTCAGTCTCCAAAGATTTACTGCAGAGACAAAAGTCCTTGAGAAACTCATGTGCGAAGCCCTTTTTGCTATGACTGTGCTCTACTCAATCAGTGAAAGTGACCTATAGCTTATCCCTGACAGGTTCTCAGAGGCAACTAAACAGTTTGGACTCACTATCAGCCTGGAAAAAAACTCATTCCTATTCCAACTGGCACCATAAACCACTACCATTTAGTCAAACATCACCATCAAGGGTACAAAATTAAAGAATGTCAATCACTGTACAAACCTTGGTAGTACCATCTGAAGTGACCGTTCCCTGGATCAAGAAATATAAAACAGAATACAAAAGGCAGACTTTTTCGAAGACTTCACCATAGGATATTCAACCAGCATACCATCAAACTATTCTTGGGATTTTGTGGTTCCAATGAGTCAGATGCTGGGCAGAATCAAGGGACTTCGATGCGATGCGATTCACTTCAATGTGATTCAACAAGGCTTTATTCAATGTGCACAAAGGGAGAGCCCTGGTACAAAAATCAGGCAGAGTCCCTCCAGCAAGGAGCCCCTCCCATTGTTATTTTATAGCACATGGCTCTTACATAACAAGTTACAGAACACAAACCTTTAACCAATCAAATTTAACCTATCCATATATGGATTTGTTCATCAGATGCTTATACTTCTCCACTCCACATGCTGAGCTCACCCCCCTCCCCTTGGCCTTCTCTAGAATGTTCCTAGGGTGGTGAGCCACAGCATGCTTCCCTGCAAACCACATTTTATCCAAAATGAACACAAGCATACCCTTCACTGTCAACAAAATTGATGATATACGATACAGAAGTGATGGCATTCCGTTCATACAGGTCTGAAACATGGACAGTGTACTGCAGGCATACCAGGCAACTTGAAAAATTTCACATGTGCTGTCTTTGCTCTATTGTGAAGGCCTGCTGGGAAGATAAAGTATCAAACATGAACATCCATGAAAGAGCAAAAACAGCCACCATGGAGGCAATGATCATCAAAACTTAGCTCAGCTGAACATATCATTTTATCAGGATGGGTGATGGTAGACTCCGCCAAAAAAGTCCTTTATGGTGAACTGAAACTCTAGGATTGGAGACAATTTAAGATAAGCTCCAAATCTGCCATTTAGTGGCCTAAGTCAAGCATCCACAAATCAAAGAATTAATGAATACCTATGATACTACTGTACAGAGTTCAGGGGTTCATTCATTGTTGTTGCTTGACTACACAGGGCACCGAAAACTCTATGGCAGCTTCACTTCACTTCCTAAGAGTTTTACTTTTGTAGTTTGTTGAATTCATCCTTATTCTGAGGCTTAACTTAGAAGTTGTTTCACCATTTCATTACAGTTGCTGGAAATAATCTAGTTAGTCATGGTGCACTGTAGTCCCTGGCTGACATTTTTTGAATCACACATAGCTGCTGAATATTAAGCAAAATGATAAATTAACTTCTGTAAAAGCAGGAAGAGAATATTTGTATTTTCTGGTATGTTCTAACCTTTTATGTCCTCCAAAACATATGGTTACAGTGTGAAGAAAACAACAGTTTCATATTATTCAGGCCATTGAGTGTCAATAAATATACACAGCTATCCATTTGTAATGTCATCATCAGAAGTACTCTTGATATGATGTTCCAGACAAGTCACTCTTTTGCTTGAGCTGCAGATGAACATTGCTGTTTTTGTAGCTATACCCCAACAATTATGAGTTTACAGGAACCTTATTAGATTTACTGATCACCAAATTTTGAGTGACAACTGGATACTCACTGTGAATATGTCCTTGAGCTCCAGTAAAGTCAGTGAAAACCACTTCATAGCAATAATTGGAGGATCTAGATAAAAACAGCGCACTCCTCCATAAACTCCTTCATTACACAAATTAGGAGAATGAAATATTTAATAAAGATAACCTTTAATACATAGGAGAAATCTAGCACTAACAGATTTCAGTGGGGTAGCGGTGTTAGTCTGTATCAGTAAAAACAACGAGGAATCCTCGTGGCACCTTAGAGACTAACAAATGCCACAAGGACTCCTCATTGTTAGCAACTAACAGAGTATGAAGAGGTAAAAAAGGTAGGCATATGAATACAGACTATTCTAATATATGTAACAACCCTGAGTGCTAGAGTATGTCTGTCCAGTAGCACAAAGGTTGCTGCAAGCCCAACTGCCTCCTAGCTCCACTGGTCACTGAAGACATCATTCTTGGTCTTACATATATGTACTCGACTTATGCAACCACTATATTAGTCACTGAACTGTCACCATAGGTTGACATACCTACATTGCTTTTAGTATCCCAAAAGGAAATTCCACTACCATCTTGCAACTACTAAGTGAATAAGTGGTGTCACTCTAAGTTTGTGTACTCAGGAAATAGCTTCTTTAGCAGTGGGTAAAAGTGAGTATGTAGCATAACACCTTTAGGAAGACTTTGTTAATATCAGTGTTGTTCAGTGGGAACAGAGTCCCCTTTGCCATCTTTTTTTTTTAAATTCTGTTACCAGGAACTTTGCTTGGCCATCCTATAACATGTAAAGATCCAAAATCTTACCACAATGATCCACTAATGTCTGCATAACCATGGAGTAATATTCCTTCCTGTGGAGCACATAAACTCTTGGACATTTGAGAGGAATTAGGAGAAGAATAGGCACATTGCTCCTGCACTGTTAGAAATAGCCAATTGTTTATATTCCTTAATAATCTCTGGTATCTTGTCCACCTTTATCCCATCCACATGCTCCTGCAACAAACAGTTTTGCAAACCTCCACCACAGTAGCATCCACTGTGATTTTACTAGCCCAAACTGGGCAATAGCTATTAGGGTAGCAGTTAGGTCCTCAGGCAATTGCTATTTCCTTTTCAGTAGGGACCAGTATTCTCAACCTTTCTAATACTGTGGCTCCCAAGCTTTTCCCATCCCATTGTGTCAAGGTACCAAACTCCTGTCAAGTGCTGATACCAATGTAATCTTTAGGGTAGGTACTACCCTCTATCTAGTGCTGCTGCCGCAGCACTCCCAGACTTGTCCCCCTCAAGTGCTGATATCCTCCACAGTTCAACCCTGCCAAGTACTCTCCTTAATCTACTGTCCCTTCTGCTCAGTGCTGGTGGCCCTCATTAACTTTGCTATTGCTGGTAAAGGCCCATTAACCCCACCATTGCCAGTACCACTGCCAATGCACAAACTTCCCCATAACCAGCCCTCTCCATTGCCTCCCCCAATTGCCAGTACCCCCCTCCAATGCTGAGACATCCTCATTAACCCCTCCCCCCATAGCCAGCACCCTCTCCCCATTGTCAGTGTCCCCTCTCCCATGCTGGGGTCTCATTACCTCCCCATTGTCAGTCCCCCTCTCCAATGCTAGGGTGGGGCCTCCATTAACCCCCCCATTGCCACGCCCCCCATGCTGGGGTCTCCTCATTACCCTTCCCATGGCATTGCCGTGGCCCCCTGTTCTGTTGACTCTTCTCCATTGTCCGCAGCCGCTCCCCGGCAGAAGGCAAAGGGGGTCACTATCCAACCCAGCCCAACTGCCCCAAACCCGGTCCCGCGGCCACCCTCGGCGCTGGG